AGAGAGAGAGAGGGGGGGGAGAGAGAGAGGGGGAGAGGGAGGGAGAGAAGCAAAAATGTGTGAGATGGGGCAAAGGACGACAGACACACTGGCAGACAGAGAAAAGGAGAGAGATAACAAGACACACGGAAAGATAATTTTTTTAAACAGACATAGGAACAGAGAATGTAGCCCTGGGTCATGAAAAAATGTGGAAAACTTGGCAATTTATAGAGTGGCTAACGTATAAGGAATTAAGCTTCCCTGAAGAAATAATGTCAAAGCAATGAAAGTTTGCTGTAGAATACTCTCTGTGTAGTAATATTTACTTTTTTTCTTGTCCTTCTAGACGTGTTATGTTGTATTGTAATAGATGATGATGGTGATTTTTTTTCCTTAATGGGCCTGGTGGACTCCACGAAGAAATCTTCGAGCGAGAACGAGGCTCTTTTTCGGCTCCATTGTCAATATGCTTAGCGGCACCTCCTCTCGTCCAAATAACTCCATTCGAATTGCCATTGTTCCTGGACATTAAAACATATGTTTGACACCCTCCTTTTTATGGCCGCATCTTCGGCAACATGGGCTGAGCTCTTAATTAACAAATTTCTTATACCATCTTAAGCTCCAATGATGGTCCGACTGCAGTCTCGCTAGCTCAACCTGGTCCCAGCGACATGCGATATTTTGTTCCCGCTTATAGGAGTACCCAGAATACACATCTTCCAGGTGCAGGTACTTAGCTCTGCATGGTGGGTCTCTGATTTCCCTCTTGATCATTGGAAAGACTCATCTGTATGTTGTTGGTCGTCTGTCTCCTTCAGTCTCTCTGGCTTCATTAGCAGCCTGGTCTGCAGCCTCATTTCCTTCTATTCCAACATGGCTTGGAATCCACTGGATTTTTATTGTCGCTGTCGCTTCACTGAACTTGCAGCGCAAATCGTTTATGTCCGAGCTGTTGCCTAGCAGCCCCTTTGATGATGATGATGATGATGATGATGATGATGATGATGATGATGATGATGATGATGATGATGATGATGATGATGATTTCTTTATAATTAGCCCCTGGGCCTGGTACTCACTTAGTTACTTACGTCTAGCCTGTAATCACACGTAATCCTAAGACCCTCTTCGTTAGGCCCATTTCCCTGCTAGTATACAGCGCTCATTTTGTTTTTCTCACAGTTGCTCCCGAGGAAGCCCACGAGGCGAAACGTTGAGCTGTGCCTATTAAACAAATTTTAAACAGTTTATATTGTTTTGTTATTTTGTCTGAAATTCAAACAAGACTCTCCCTCCTACTCTGCTTATCAAACAATGATGATGATGATGATGATGATGATGATGATGATGATGATGATGATGATGATTTGAAGGTAAAAGCAGTGGCGACGATGACGATAACTCCGATGATGCATTCCTCAGGTCAGTCTTCGCTGCTGCTCGAGATGGAAACTTTCCTGAAGTGTTCAGTTTGATCACTGTCAAACAAATGACTCCTTTACCCTCCATGGTCTTCACGGTAAGTTATAAGGTCGAGAGTAACAAAGTCTGGGGGGGGGGGGGTTCCCCTTGCATTTTCTTTTAGGGGGTTCCCCTTGCATTTTCTTTTAAATTGCCGGCCGAAAGCACACACCTTATTCCAAATGAAAGGAATAACCTGAATGTGGGATTTGCAAATGGGGAGGGGGGGGGGGGGGGGGGGGACTTTTTCTCTCTTTTTAAAAAGTCTGTTAAGTACTACAAAGGAGACCTCCGACTAGCACGCAGAATACTTATTTGTAATAAGCCTTGAACCTACAAATGTTTGGGTTTGCGTCTTGCGTACCTTCATAGTTGCAAAAAAAGGGAGGGGGAGGCGTTTTAACCACAAGTAAATTGACCAGTGTCCACAGTGCAACTAAATGATGAAGGCTTGTGAAGTCACAACATATTGATCTACTGACGCATGTCAAATACCATGAGCAAAAAAGTTGGCTTTTGGAAAGATGTTTGGCCTCCTCTTGTAATCACATTATCCCTATTGCCCTAAATAACACGTGTCGACCATTTTCAATTTTGAACTTTGCGGGGAATACTTTCGTAGTGAATTTTTTTTCACAGTACCCACTCAACATTGTCCATCATCAGATTAATTTCACTTTTTCGCATGTGTTGTTTGCAAATTTCATTATGTCATCGAATTTTGCTAAGCCTAAGTGATTTCAGTGAGCTTAAGATCGGGGACTTGAATGCACGTGCAGACCCCTCGACAGCTATTGCCATGCCAGTTTTAGAAGATGAATGTGATTCTGAAAGTCTAAAGGGCATTTTATAACTTTCTGAACTTATCTTTCAATATCTGTTAGAGTGCTCTGATCTTTGGAGGTGTGAGGTGCTCCAGTGAAGTAATATTTTTATACCTCTCTCTTGTTTCTACCTGTTTATCGTCCTCTTTCCTCGGAATCAACTTACCTGTAATTGTGCTGGTGTGCTTCTTTTTCATTCAAACTAACCCCATCTACGTTTGTTCTTCAGATTTGCTTGGCTATCGTGTTCGTATTACTGGGAGATATCGCTAGCCTCATCAACTTCTTCAGCTTCACAGCTTGGCTGTTCTACGGCGCAACTTTCGCCTCTCTTGTCGTCTTCAGATTCAAATATAAAGATACCCCCAGGCCATATAAGGTAACATAGTCATCTTTATGTTTGTTTGTCCTGATATTTTTGTCTATTGTTTGTATGTTTTGTTTTGTTTTTGTTTTTGTTTTTGTGGGGG